GGCACGCTTTCTTTGTTTAACGCTCACTCGGTCACTCTTTTGGCGTGCACGCCCCATTTGTCCTTTTTTTCAGGTTTTGTTTAAACGCGCCCCGCCCCCCCCCCCCCCCCCCCCCCCCAAATGGTCTTCAAAGTTGGCTTAGCACCTCCCATTCTCTATGAAGACTCTTAGTTATTTGTTAGGTAGACCATGATTTGACGCCTTCGAAGGTGGGTTTTCCTGGTCCTCTTGTTGATGCCCACAAGGCCACAACTTCTTTAACCCCAACTAGGAGTCAGTCACCAGAATCTCCGACATGTCGAGATGGCGTACTACAAGGTGGGCGCACCATTATCGCGAACGGGTCAATTCGTCGAGTTCGCTTGAACCGTGGCCCGAAGCTCAGATGTCGATGCCGCCAAAAGACCGAAGACACGCCTGGATCCTACCGTGGCGTAGAGAAGCCAGCAAGCAATTCCACGAACTATGTAGATGGCGAAGGAACAAGGAAGCTTGCTCACCAAAGCCATTCGTCTTCCCGTCGAAACAGTAACACAGGTAGTGCTCTAATCAGAGCGCTTAACTGAACATCCGAGGACCGCACATCCCCAGTGGCCAAGTCTCAGCATGGAGGCGCGCCAATTGAAGATCTAACCAACATCACAAAGTACGGAGAAGCAAGAGCTGAACCCGACTGACTATGCTAGCATTGACCTGAACATTATCCATATCTTGCTTCCATGTACGTTCTATGTCTAGGTAGTATAGCTTGCTTACTTGCTTGCTTACTTATTATCATATGTAGAAACCAATATATACCAGTGCCAGAATCCGTATTAATCATGACCAAGCATGTTTTCTTTTTACAATCATCAACTCGGGAGAGTCCTTCTTAGATTAGATGCGCAGCAACTTCAATCGCTTATTCACTCTCCTCCCCTTCGCTCTCCTCGTCTTGCTTGAAGACGACCTTCTCGCAGAGTTGCAGGCACTGTCTGACCGGCAGACCCACGACATTATCCACGCTTCCCTCAATCTTCTCCACAAGCATCATGCCCCCTATGCCTTGCACAGCATACCCACCAGCCTTGTCGACGCCCTCGCGCGTCCTCACGTAGGCGTCGATGACATTGTCGGGCAGTCCGTCGCTCGCCTTGGCGAATGTCACCTTTGTCTCCTCGATGTGGCTCGACATGGCGTAGCCGGGAAAGCTGGCGTCGGCCTTGGGGGCCACGCAGCACACGGCGGTTAATACACGATGGGTCCGCGTGTCCCGGAGATGGCGCAGCATGCGCTTGTGGGCCTGTTCGGAAGGCGGCTTCTCCAGGATCGCGCCCTCTCGGGTGACGATGACTGTGTCGGCTGCTATGACGAGATCGGGGTCCTTGACTGTGTTCTGTCCGGCTTCAGAACCGATTCTCTCGGCTGCCTCGTTGGCCTGCTCGGACTGCTTTATAGCTGCGTGGTAGACGTCCAGGGCTTTCTGCTGGGCTGTCGAGGAGACGTATTCGAAGGCACCCATTTGGTCCTTGGGGAGGTTCTCGGGTTGTGTCGAGGGTATGACTTCGAGGTTGGGAAGTCCGATCTGGGCGAGAAGGGCTCGGCGTCTTGGGGAGGCAGAGGCCAGGATGACGCGGTGTGTCTGCATGTACTTTAGGATGGGCAGCTCGAGAGGCGCCAATGGTGGAGGACGCCGTCCTTGCTGAGGTTGTTGGGGTTGGCGGATGGGTAGACCATGTTCTTTGGCAGATGGTGCGTAGGCGGGAGGTGGATCGGCAGGGACGTCGTTTGAAGAAAGGGGTTGTGATTTCTCCATGATGGAATAATGCTTTTCTTAGCTATCTACCTAGGCAGGGAGAATAGATTGCTGATAATGTCTTGACAACCTTGATGGCGAGTATTCAATGATTAGCCAATTGTGTTCCTGATTATGTCCAGATTTGAGCTGGCAAGAATGGGATCAAGAGCGAGAGCGAGAGAGGTTCTGTAGATGCAAAGGAGAAGGGGAAAGTCAAGGTTGTAAAGGTGAAGGTGGAAGAGATAGGGATAATGATGATGGGAATTGGGAATTGAAGGTGGGGAACCGAGAGGTCGGTCAGGTCGGCAGTAGGGGTAACACCGTAACAGTAGGGGGAATACCTCCGTTAAGCTTAATTGATTTGAATTGACTTGCAGGAGCTCTGCCGAGATAGGTATCCAACATAATACCTATCCTGATTTGCTAGGTGCTACTAGACTACACAGTAAGTACAATGTTGGAATCGTCGTCAGCTTTTTTCGACATGTTAGGTATTTCTAATGTCAGTGTATTATGTATATATATAGATCTCTACCTATCTGTAGCTTTGGTCCCGCGGGTCGCTATATCTAATCCTATCGTGGAAGACCTTTCAAGTCTGTTTCTTTATTGCATTGGAATACCGATGTACCTACCACTTAGAAATAGATAAATACATATATGTCGTGTAGTTGGATCGAGGCAACCTATTATAGGTATTTAACATCTTCTTGTAAGCATACTTACGTCAGGAATAGTACCTACCTAGGTAGATAGAGCAGGGCCGGAGCGCACCGCCACAATCGACCACTCGCAGCTTTCACTCTAGCCTACTACCGTAACCTATTTTGACGTCAATGTGGCTTGGCAATACTGTGGGTAAAGAAAGACCCTTAGCGCTGGTAGATAGGTAGTGCTTTGCTTGGCGGATCGACTTGTAGGTAGTAGGTAGTGGAGCAATTATCACATGCATCGTCGCAACTTGCTTCAGATGGTCACTTCTGCTTGCTTTCAACAAGTTTGACGGCACGTATCCCATGAAGCCGCCATATGGATCCAACTGCCCGGAGTCCAGCTGAGGTTGGAGCAAGAGTCGCCAGCGAACGTCAAACCACGTAATGCCGCAGCACACTCATCGCCATCCTTTCTTCGTTCCTTTTGTTGCTATATGCCATCACCACGTCCCATAATACGTGACTTGACTTATACTACGGCTTCTCTGTCTCTGTCGCAGTAGGAAACCAGGGGGAATAATTACTATCGCGCACAATCGTTTATTCATATGGCACGCCTCTTCTCGACGGACAGAGACAGAATAATCCAGGCTTCTTTCGCTTTCAGTTATATGTACAGCCCCCCCGCTACCACCACCGCTACCATCGAAACAGACAGACAGACAGACAGACAGACTCATGGCAGATAATGAATCGCGATCCCCGCAAGATGGGGACAGTCAGGATCTCGGGCCCGACGAGAAGCCGCGCCTGACTGAAGAAGAGAAGAAGCAGAATCACATCGCATCAGGTATATATATTTCTCCCTATCTACCTGTTTCCCCAGACACTTGATTGCCTTGTGTATGCATGCATATATATGTACAACATACACGACTAATCACCCCCACTGCAGAACAAAAACGTCGAGAGGCAATTAGGGCCGGCTTCGACCGTCTGTGTGAGCTTGTGCCGGGCCTAGAAGGCCAGGGCCGTTCCGAGGGGCACGTGCTTAAGGCCACGGTCAACTATATCCGGAAGGAGCTGGTTGAGCGCCGTGAACTCGTACGTGCTCTGGACGCCCGCGGCGAACATGTCCCCCAGGAAATGAAAGAGTATGTTCTGTTCCTTGGTGAAGTTACACTTTCGATGAATAAGAGTCTGGTAACTGACATGTCATTTGCAAATTCTAGCCCAATTCTCATCTTGGAAAGATTGGAGGAACGGGATCGACAGTATGTGTTGCGCTCCCTTATCCTTTATGAATATCGTCTCTGTTTGCATCGCGAGAGCTGTGTGGCATCGTGTCATTCATTCCTGATACTCGCTGCATCTGTCGAGATTTTACCAGAGAGGTTAGGAATATATTTTAACGTTCTCCTTATAGGAGATCTGCGAATGAAGCTTCTAACGGAACATCGGAAGGGATTGAAGACGATAGTTCAGAAAGGGCTTGAAAGCTAGAATAACAATGCAGGAGATGTATAATACTTGGGTCTACAAACCGACCTCCCACGAAAGAACCTTTGGCATGCCTTTGGGAGATTTGCGGCTGGAGAACGAGTTGGGCTGATACGCGGGATAGCTAATGCCATTGTCTAGGTCGACTCTCGACGAGGATGTCATTCGAGTATGATCAAGTATGCATTTCGAGCGATCGGGCATATCACTCTTCACTATGAGGAAAGCTTGGAGGGATAGCTACTTATGTTATACACAGGTAATTTACAGATAAGCGTCTATTTTCGCTTGGAGTATTTCCAATAAGTTGGATGGTTGCATTTCTACCCGTTCCCCGTACGGCCGCCCCTCGGTATCATCTCCCAAACGCGATAGGTCACATGTAATGGATCCACTAGACAGCTGTCGTGGCCCAACCGTGAGGAAGACGCTGTAACCCTTGGCCTTGGCATGGTGGCTTTTGACGCCCACGGGTAGAGGCCTATCGTCGATGTCTACCACGAAATTGGCAGCTTGGCTCACCGGCTCGTCCGGCGAATCTGATTCGTGCCTACCTAGGAGAATGTCCCGGACTTTGTTGGCATGCTCTACGACGAGCGGGGCGTCGTTGACAGTCATGATTATAACCTGCCGAGGATTCAGCCAGAGGGGCCAGTTCCCGTTATAATGTTCGATTAACAGAGCCATTAAGCGCTCTACAGAGCCTAGGACAGCTCGATGGATAAGAACTGGCGTGACGAGGCCGAGTTTCTTCAGCTCTTCCTGATCCGTCGTGGTTTCTCCGCGCGTCTCAAACTCAGGTGCCGGGGCTACGTAGCCTAGTTCGAATCGCTTGGGTAGTTGAAAGTCCAGCTGGATAGTGGCTGTTTGGTGTTCTTTGCCATCCGAGTCCCGCAAGATGATGTCTATTTTGGGACCATAAAAGGCACCATCGCCTTCGTTGATCATCCACTCCTGACCGGACGCCTCTAGTGCTCTCTTCAATGCGGCCTCAGCGCGCCCCCATTCGCTTCTGGTCCCTATGTAGTGATCTTTAGGCCGCGTGGACAGAGTCAATCGGTAAGGCCCAAGCTTGAATGTAGAATACACGACGCGCACGAAATCCAACGTCTTCCGTATCTCGTCTTCGATCTGCGACGGCCTGCAGAAGATGTGTCCGTCGTCTTGGTGGAAGCGCCGTACTCGAGTCAGTCCACTCAGAGCACCTGATATCTCGTTGCGATGGAGGGGCGAGAAATCGGCGTATCGGACGGGGAGATCTCGGTAGCCGTGGCGCTTCGATGCGAAAATCAGGCAGTGGCCGGGGCAATTCATAGGCTTGAGGCCGTATTCATCTTCTTCGCTGGCCTCGGCCGTGTCGTTCCGCGACGGCGACGTGCTCGTTACAGTGAACATGTCGTCGCTGTAGTTTTCCAGATGCCCTGACTTTTTCCACAGCGCCTTCTTGTAGATGGTGGGGGTGATGACCTCGTCGAAGCCATAGCGGGTGTATTGTCGGCGCAAAAACTCGACCAAGCGATTGAATATTCTGGCGCCATTGGGGAGAAGAATGGGCGAGCCTGGGCTGTAGATGGACGTCGTAAATAGTTCTTGCTGTACGGCGAGCTGTCTGTGGTCTGCGGGCGGGATTGGTGGATCCTCAGTGGTGGTCGCATGTGCATGCGAAGCGCAGCTCCGTCGTAGGTGCCATTGTGAGGACACACACGGGATATATGTAGGATTTCGTATGCGTGATAGTTGACTCAGCGTGCGGGAGGATACGTAGGTCCTCAATGCCCTTGTGCAGAGCATGTTGCCGGTCGATCATGGTACAGTCGGTCGGCTTCATACCGGAGCTAAAATACAATTGCTACAGAAGAATCCGGGCCGTTGACGAAATATCCATCTATCAGTAATACCGTTATACCTCGTTTAATCCTTATCTTGTGCCCCTTATCGTCAACGAATTCGAGCGGGACACGCCACGCCGCGCCGTGACCGGAAACCCATGTGACTAGGTTACTAGGTCACGAGACCCGTAACACATATCGCGGCCCATCCCACCCCCCATCCATCCATCTCCATATTGTCAGGTCTCCAATCCTTCAGATAGAGACAACATCGTCAACGTCATCCCGCCCGTCAGCCAGAGTGGCATGCCACCATTCCAAACACTGCTTAGGTTCTGGATATTGCTCCATCCCCACCGAATCCCCCATTGTGCCCTCCATAGGTACTCCTATTCACTGCATGTTGAATCGAGCCAACCATCAACCAATAGCTCAGAATACCCATCCGAATACCTATCACGTAGCTAATTCTCGAGGCTACCATTTCAGGCGCCAACTTCTGCTGTTTGCCTATTTACTGCATAAGATTGCCGAATAGACATCCCTGCATGCAAGTAATACTTCTAATGCGTGACTCACTCGCCTGCATTTAGCTTCGACGCGAACCCAAACGAAGCTTCTCAACCCGACTTAGTTGCCGCCTACTTAGCGCTTGACCGACCCCAGTCCCTACACCCCGGAATCCCTAGCTGTACATGTAGACGCTCGCTTCACCATTCTTCTTGGCACGCAAATGCATATATAAACGTCGCGAACCCCCGAGTTCATTTATTGTCGCGCTCTTTGTTTGACGCGACGCGACTCGTCACCCCAACAACCCGCGTCCGCACTGCCTGATTAAGGCGAGTCTCAGAAGCCATAAATTGCCGACCCAGTTCGAACCGACCCGTCACAGCAAACCGTTGCGTTACCGACATGAGTTCACGAACATAGTCCGCAACCAATTTGAACACCAACAATGGCGCGCACTAGACGATCAAATATCCCAGTCGAGGGCTCTTGGCGTATGGTGGAAGGCGAAAACGACAGCTTCGACACCTCCATCGTTCAGGACGCACACGATGAGAACTGGGTCATGTCGAGCGGGCAATCCCAATACACATCATCCTCACAAGACCTAGCATCTCAAGAAAGCATTCGCGACTTCGCCGACAGAGCCGACGAAGATCAGATCATCCTGCGAGCGCCCTTCCAGCCTTCCCTAGCATCCACGCGGCATGCTTCATTAGATAAGGAGCGGACCCCGATTCCGGAGTTCTTCATGCCTACTCCCGTAGTCAACACTAGCCCTCGACGCCCCAGCACTCGCTCGTCAAGAACCATCAACCCTGAGTCAACTGAGACATCACAAGTTCGTCGGCGAGTATTCCGGCAGGGATCAGCCGATGAGGCTCTTCAGGGTTCCATCAAGCCGCCATTCGACGACCACATGCGGAAGCGTTCGACGCAGCAGCCTGGTGTCCCTCAACGATCCACGAACTTGACTTCAGGGGTTCTCTTAGATTGCTTTGGTTGGATTTTCTCCGTCATCGGAATCGCTCTACGATTTGCGAAGTGGCCTATCGCCTTGTTCCTGGCTCTCTATATGGTGCTCGGGATTGCCCTAGTAACGAGGAATGTCGTCACTGATTCCGTCACTGCATCGTTGCAGCCTATCTGCAGGATACCGGGTGTTTCGTTTCTCGATATCCCATTCTGCACAAATGGTCCTTCCCCCCCAGGTTCGAAGGGCAAAGCACAGCCTGTCGCGTTCGACGAACTTATGAATGTGCAATCGCAATTCGAGAAAGTACTCGAGGACTCGACACAAGGCGTCTCGTTGCCTATGGATATGAAGCGCGCCGAGGCGTCAGTGCGTGATCTGCGCACGCTAGTCAAATATAGCGATTTGCCCTCGCGCGAAGAACTAGTCTATGAGTTCGACGGTTATATAGATTCTGTGCGCAACATTATCAACGATCTACAATCGTTCAACACCCATGTCGGCGGTGCTGTCGACAGCGTCATCAACATCAACCGCTGGACATCTCGGTACATCGACTCCATCGCCGTAAACCGAGAAGCACAGAGCCAGTTGATCTCGTGGAACATTATCGAATGGTTATTTGCGCCCTTTCAACCCCCTGTATTTCACGAGCGCATAATACTGGAGAAATACATCGAACATACGTCTTTCGTCTCGGATAAGATTCAAGGTCTTATTCTCGAGGCACAAGCTACGCTTCGCCTGCTCTCGAAGGCGGATGATCATCTGCAACGTATCGATGAATTCATCGTGCGAAACGGGAATGCAGCTAAGGAAAAGCGTAGCGATGCACTCTGGGATCTATGGACTTACATCGGCGCGAATAATCGCCAACTCAATAAATTGAGCGCTCAACTGTCGTTGCTGAAACAAGTCGATGCGCAGCGCACTGCGGCTGTCACGCAGCTCATGGGCCTTGTGCATGACCTAGGCGATATTCAGACTAAATTGAGTGATTTAAGGGATCGTGTCGCGGCCCCGGAGTTGCTGGCTGATACTACGTCTATTCCGCTCAGTGTGCATATTGAGACCATCGATGCTGGAGTCCAGAGGCTTGAGGCGGCGAGAGTACGTATCCGTACAGAAGAGAATGAACGGTTGCAGCAGGCGCTTGCTAGGGGGAAGGGGGAGATTCCTATGATTGAATCCTGAGAGGGTAATAGTTGGGACTGGATCGGGGTTGATATGATAGGGTTTGCTTGGATTGCTGTGTGCATGCGACGGCGCTTGGAGTTCAGGTTGACCCTGGGTTGGATATGAGCTTTCGCGGCGTCGATGATTGCATTTTGGAGGACTGGGTTTGAGTATAGATACCACTAATATATACTTTTCATTCAAATGAGGGTGTTACATGTGACTTTTATGAGTAAGGATATATCGTATCATGCGCTTCGAAGATGGTATTAGGTAAACAAGTATGTACATAGGTTGGGAGGTAGTGAAATGTGACTACGACTTCGTTGGTTGTCATATATTAGGTAGGTGAGATAATTGGGTTAAATACACTCACGCTCCCCCAATATAAGTACCTATAACTCGCCATACATATGCCCTGAAGTGTACTGTAGACAGGTAGGCACTTAGATAGCTTGGTATGAAAAGCGCGTTGTCTCTGGACCTTGAATGGATTGTGTAAGTATCACTTCGTGTGTATTTTCACACAGCTATGAGGAAAAAGCAGTTAGGGCATATTACCGCTGTTACTATTTGGAGTCATATTGTAACTCGCATGGGCTCCGTGTATATGGCTTGTAGTAGGGGGACTCAAAATTTGTCCTACGCAGACTAGAATAGCAGGGGATTGTCTATGTAGGGTTAGAAGGAGTCTCATATAGGATCATGTGCTAGGTTTGTAAAACAAGGATAGCTAGGTCTAGGGGAGATGTGTCGGACTGTTGGTGTGACGAGCGCGAAGATATAGTTATAGTCATCTTTGTGTTTTGCGTGATGGGCAGGTGACACTTCTTGAACTACGGTGCATGTGTATAACTCAAAGTTCTTCGCCTGATACATCGTGTAGCCATTCTGTGGCAAGGTCGTGCCAATGGTTACTTACCTAGGTATTATCGGGTTGACCTAGCTCGCTAGCATCGGTGTGAACAGGTGACCATGGAACACGAAAGATATTCGTAGGCTTAAATGCTAGCCAGAGCACAGGAACTCAGGTGGTATGAAAGCGAGACGAGCATCTCCGTTCTATAATTCGGATGAATGTCTTAATGTAATTGTAAATTTAAATAAAGTTGTATTCGAGGTAATAAGACCTCTAAGTTCACCGAAGTTCTCTCAGCGAGTTCAGCCATTCTTCACGCGATGCTATTTGACGAATTATATAAAGTGACCTTCGCAAGTCCAAGACAGACAATCACAAGCGCTCATCGCTGTTCTCTATCTCTCTATTCCCCTAAGCGTTCACAGACCTGCGAGAAAGTTCTTTTTTTTTCAGCAACAACAGGAATAACAACCAGCCCACGATAAAAGTTAGAACACACCCGCATATACATCCATACATAGCATCCCAGAACTGATAGGCTGATCTAATTATCGGACAGGAAGAACATCGACATCATTATGTGCCGCTGGATCAGAGTCCGCTGCGGATTATTCCATTGCTTGATTCGGGACCGACTCCTCTCTCCCTGTCAGGACGCCATACACCAGATTTACGAGCCTGGTTCGTCGGTGGAGGCGGGCTACGACTTCTGTCGTCGCTGTCCTCCACCTCATGTGCCTGATCCGCCATCGACTTCTTGATGACATGATGTTAGTTGTTACTGGTATTATTCTTTGAGGACGATAGCTGATAATTGGGAGAAAGTCGAAGTTATAAGAGATGGAGGGCGGGTGGATAATAATAATGGGACGGGCGTTGATGAGTTCAAGATGAGATACATAGCGCATATGGGTCCCCTAGTGATGAATTATCAATAAAACTACAGATGCCGATGCTATCGTGGGTTCGGTCTCTCGCCCGGTATGTGCACTTCACGGATTAAAAACGGCAACTTTGCACTACATCTAACTGACGTGCTTTCGGAATTTGTGTTTCCTAGCGGACGCCATGGGAGCCTGAGCCACCACCCATCTAGATCCTGTTCAAAAATATATGGTCCGAACCCGTGAAGGAAGATTACTAGGATGCATATAGACATGGGAATAAACTGAGCGGATCATGAGTATATCATGCTATTATTCGAGCGATCAAGATATAGATGAAGATTATTCAGTCCTGATTGGGTTTGCTTTGCGCTATGGGCCAGCTATAGGTTCTGGTATTGTCCTCATTGTTATACATAAGTTTAAGTCCTCTGAATGGTCTCACCCTTCTTAGAGCCGTTAGTTCTCCGGTTTGGTCGTGTTGGAATGTGGTATGTCACACCTTGGCTACTGCGCTAGTATATAGCTTTCATAGCTCATTCGAGTTCATATCAAGTGAGTACTTACACATCAAAACCAAACCTAAAGAGGACTAAATACATTAGGTTCCATCAAGGTCATGTGTGGCCTCGAAAATAGACGTCGTCAATCTTCTGATGGCAGTTACTACAATGACATTTTGCCGCCGGCCAAACAAGAAACGGAAACGCCTTACATTTACAGCTGTACTATAAAATGGCTAATGATAAGTGAATATCAAGCGTATGGAGAAATCGGGTAGGCTGTTCGATTTAGTCTAGTCAAAACTAGTGGGATGTTATGATGGTAGTTGGTGAAGAAATGCTTACTGTTTGTTAATCCTACATTGGAGATCTCAGAACCGCTTGGTAATACTTGTCGCAGCATGCTTGAGGAAACTTACTGGAGTTCCAAGAACGGGAAAAGCTCAGAAAAGCTTTGTTAGCTGAACTTGGCCGCATAAAATAATTAGGCTCGATCAAGGTGTTATCGCGGAGAAGACGGGACAGTGGTGCGGCTGAGTGTCATTGCTACCAGCTCATGTACCCCACAATAGACTATTTCGCTCGATAATTGTAGAACTGGCATTGTGCTGTCTATCGTACTTTGAAGCGGTGAGGTTTCACGTGGAAAACTCGTCACTTGGCATGCAGAATCAAGGCCTCGAACGTCCAAGCGAGTAGTACTTGAAGCAGACTTAAACCACATTGAGCGATGGCATCTGCAATTACCAGTAACTAAGCTATCTGCGATTTGACAATGGCCTTCCTAAATAAGACAGGGCTTGCTGAGCCTAGATGCGGCTGAATCGTCGGGGTTTACACTTCAACAGTGAGCCTGATTAAGAACCTCCGACCTCGTACCATGGTTTTCGAGTCATAGGAGGCCACGAATGAGGCAACTGCCGGAGCAACACTACGATTCGCCAAATAGCTCAGAAAACCCGGTCTCAAACTCACAATGAGGTGTCAGGTCTTTGACGATAGTGTCATTGGCGCAGTCCGGTCTCCGGAGCACCATTGTCGTCTTAGCTGGCATGCAGCCACCTATCTAGTGCACAAATCCTTCGCGAGAAGCACTCGGCACGCTTCCCGTGAACGAATAGCTCGTTATAGTTACAGTTAGGGTAAAAGTTGTTATCGTGGCGTACAGAACAGGAGTATAAAGTAGCCGTCCAATCCCTTGGTGGTGGACATATGCCCAGCAAATTGCCACGGACTAGTATCACTACTCACGATCCATCACAAATAGCTTCCCCAAAACCAAAGACAATATGAAGTTCATTGTCGTTCTCGCCGCCCTCGCTGCTACCACCTCTGCTTACCGGTGCAAGTTTGACCGCTTCTCTGGCAGCTCGGGCGGTACCTTCTACTGCGGCGCGTTCGAGGAGAACCACAAGAAGGGTGACCAGACTGAGAAAGATGGGTGTTCAAAGGTTCACACCAATTCTTGCTACAAGCGACACCACGGCACCACCGGCGACGCCAACTGCAGGCTTGTCATCTACTATGGTAATGACAGGTGTGTAAGCGACAGGCAGTTGACATTGAACTGCGCCGATAACTTGGCGAGTGCTCAAATCTATGAGAACCACAGCTACAAGGTCTACTGTGACTAAGCAGATAAGTCTTTAGAAGGCGTGGAATTTCACTGATGTGCGTTTTCTAATACCTTGTCTTTCTTTTATCTTGTTTCCCCCCTCCCACCTGCTCTGATATTAGTTGCTGACACCGAATAGCTTCACCGTATTCGGACTTGATAGTTATGGTGGAGTAAAGGGAGACTGTTATTGGATCTGGAGATATGAAACTATGAATTGACAGTAGGGAGAAGTCTAAATACCCTCACTACTAGCCCTCTGGACCTCGCGCAAGATTGTCTGTTAATAGGCTTATTGTATAATCAGGACTACCTTCTGATGTTGACACTGCCTCAGGGCTACAGACAAATTGATTTGCTGTATAATTATTGCCCTCGCTTAGTCACGATGATTTCAAAACCTTGATGCAACAATAATTATGATGAAGTAAAATATGGTTGCAGCTCTGACAAAGTCTTGCAAGCCAATGACACGATCTTATGAAAAACGCACTACATATTACGTATTCATCATAAAGCCGAGATTGAAAGATTATGACTCTAACATCGAGAGACGACAACCCGAAGTCAGCTGGTGAGGGTTATGGTAACACGATGAGGGCATAATTGAGCTCTCTTCGACATTGGTCATGTTAGGGTTCGACATAGAGTCAAATCCTTGGCCTCTTAATGTTACGTAAAGCTCTAAACACGCTATAAGTTATTTCTGGACAATTGCACACGACTTCTTGAATCAAGTGTAACTTAAGCAGTACAGAAATACAGACATGATAGTGTGTTGCACAGCTATGTTAGTATCACCCCATATGCAGAGGCAACGATTTTGTGACATAGGCTTCGCACATTTAATGCCCTTTGCACGACGATGTTCTCTTAGCATATCTTCCGTTAAAGTCTCATAAAATACATCACGCACCAAAAACGTCATTAAAACCTATCACAAAGATACACGCTTCTTAATCATGAGAATAGCATAGTTGAATATTTAAAAGGAAGCTCTCTATTGCCTAATTGTGATAAATGAAATAATGTTTAGTATATTTCCTAAGCTCTAAATGGACAATGTATTGGATTGCTCAGGAGATAGATGCAAGCTTAGGAGGGTTTTCTGGAAACATTGTTAGAAGAGAGTGAGGGAAATAAGTGTTTGCCCACAAGTACACCTATTCCCGGGGAGCTGAGGAATTTTCATTAGTGGAAGTCTCATTCTCATCAGCGGGAGTCTTCTCAGCGCCAGTTTGACTCTCATCCATAGGAGTCTTATCAGTGGGAGTCTTACGGCGTCCAGCTAAACCATAATCAGCGAAACTTCTATAGATAGGACGAAGAGTCCCAGATGGAAGGTCAGAGATAATAGAGTCGTCAGGAGTATTAATAAGAGGACCCTTAGAAAGAAGAGAATCAGTGAGAGTGTAAGCGGGGTTGGAAGGAGCAGGGCTAGGGGGGGGAGAGTTGGAGGGTCGAGGGTTAGGAGGAGCGGTGAGGTGTTGGTTACTGGAAGAATTGGCTGAAGAAGACATTGTTGCTATGTAGTTTTTGTTGTGGGCTTGTGTTTTGAATAGAATTGCTTGTTAGTGTTATAGAATATGTGTGAGCTGTGTTTATGTTTGCGAGAATGAAGACCAAACGGAAAGGGGCAGTCCCTCGAAGAGAAAAGTTCGTGGTTTTTATATACATTCTTGATTCCTTGTTCTATTTCAACAATTTGATTGCTATTGAACAATTGCATTCATATGTGAGATCATCGGAAACTATCAAAGCATCAATTGAGATGGTGTTGAAAGCACCTTGGCAGTATTGAACAAGGAGCTTCAGTTAACTCCTATTCTAACCTTTTTCCAGACAGTTGCTTTGTGATTAGTTATTGTCCGTGCGCTCGCTCAAGAGTAGATAACACCATTGTATGAACTTACAAAGCCCTTAATTGTCATTGCGAATCGATGTTTAAGCGGTGGTTCTTTATTCGCTAAGGAGGTAGAGTTTGGAACCTACTGCATCACAATAGATTCACCAATGTCAGTATGTAACACCACCATCTTAAAAAAGTCATAGTGGTATTAGTTGGTACAATTATAAGATATATGTATAATTTTTGTCTTATATCTAAAGGGTCTAGATCATAAATTCTTAATCGCATACTTCTCGCGCAGAGTCTCACCGTACTTGAGAATTACGTACGCTACAGGCAAGAAGAGGATGGCAATAAATGCAAGCAGACTATTACCCCAGCCATACCCGAGTCTTTCGTACAACCTCAAACCGGCCAGCGGCAAGAGACCTCCGGCAATTGATCTGATAACGGTGTTAGACGCCAGCGCAGAAGCGGCATAAACAGTGAAAGCGTCGACGAGGTACGTCTGTATCGAGAAGAAAACTAGGATATTTCCGATGCCTGTAAGTCCAGTTCCGATGATGGGTACGATCCAATGAACCTTGTATTGCGTCGGCCAACCGTAGATGAAGAGGCCTATTGGCAGGAGGACAGCACCGACGGGGAGGAGCGGGAGACGATACTCAGGTTTCATGCCCTTCTTCTCTGTACCCGTTTCTTCAGCTATTTTGTCCGCTTCTGCGGCTTTCCTAGCAGTGTATTTGTCCGATGTAGTGCTATAGAGGAAAACGCCTATCAAACTTCCAACACCTAGTCCTATAAAGGAAAGGCCGACGAGATTGGTAGAAAAGCCGTATTGCCCCTGGAAAACTTCGGTCATGGTGGTGAACTGTATATAAAGATATCCGTACGTAAGGGAGGTATACAGTGCCGTGATGGAGACGACTGGTGAAAAGATAAACAACTTAGCTGGACGGATGGCGCTACGCTTAAAGAAGTCACTCGGTGATAGCCCAATGTCCAACTTGGAGCGCAGCAATTCGTTATTAGTCTCCTTGCGCAACTTTTCTGTCTTTCTCTGGAGGATCACTGGCGCGAAACTCTCCCTCATGACGAAGAGCATGACGATCGTGATAAACCCGCCGACGATGGCTAGGACCCAGAAATTCCACCGCCAACCTTTCGCATCAGAAAGAAAGCCACCGGCGATGGGGCCGACGATAGGGCCAAGGAGGGGACCGACACTATAAACGGCCAAGACGGTGCCTCGATGCTTCTGCGGGATCATGTCGGCAATCGTGCCGCCGCCGTTCGTCACAGGTGCGACACCAAATAGTCCTGCCAGGAATCGGAAAGCAATGAGCGAGTTGAGACTAGGGGCCAACGCACAGGCGATTTGGAAGGCCACAAAGCCGACGCTGCAGGCGTGGTAGACGGGAACACGGCCGTAAATCTCGGATAGGGGCGCGAGGACGATAGGACCAGCGGCGAACCCGAGTAAGTATACCGAGACCACGAAGGTTGCAATCTCGGGCGACGTCGAGTTGAACTCCTGCAGGACAAGAGGGACACCTGGTGCAAATATGGCTGCGATACCGATTAGCTTCTGCTCGTCGATCTGGGATTGGTTAGGATTTCTCTTGCGCACAGGATGCCAGTGGCGATATGAATGTCTGGAAGCTCACGCAGCCGCAGTTGAGGACTTTGCGTGTCGTAGACCAGTTATAGGGATTCTCAGGATCATCTTCGTTGTCCCACCAGACAATGTTGGGGTCATTCTCCTCGTCTGTCGTCGTGGTTCCCTTCTCCACATCTGCACTGTCTTCCTCGTTTAGAACATAGCCGATGCCAGAGGGTATATCGGCATCATGCCGTTCTCTAGCGGCCTGGGACATCTTGCGCTCCAATGGGGAGTGGTCGTCATGGCTCCTTTTGCCATCGCTATGTCTAGCGGTATGTGTCGAGGCTGTATCTGACATTTTGGTGAACCAAAAGTGAAGTTGGATCCCACAAGTGTTCGCACCCCCCCACACAGCGAGATCTCGATCTCGTCAAACCGGCCACGAATCAACCCAAATATGGCTTGGAGAAGCTGTGCAAGTGGTTAAAGGACAAGCCAGGATAATAAAAGAACGGAGTCGGGTGCTATTTCCGCTTAAACCCGTTCCTGTGGAATTGGAAGAGCATGCGCTATACATGCATGCAACCTGGCTAGGAAGCGGTGTGGTAGAAGTTCATAAGGAAATGGCGAGTCGACGTGTACGCAAAATGTTTCTGCTTGTGCTCCAACTCATAGCTTAGGAATCTATCTGCACCGTCTGCTGAAAAGGGGAGGGGGCTTAGAAATAGCTTTTATACGACGACGGGGACCTGGGATGACGAATCATGAATTGCCGTAGCCGTACCTCCATCACATCACAGACAGCAGTCCAATCTCGTTCCCCGATCATGATTGTACAAGTAGCATAACACATGCGACCCTCTGGGTTGACGTCGAATAGTCCCGAGCCCGGCTTTTCACTACCCCATACCTACTAACATAGCGCCAAGGTGGTCTATACATGCTTATAGACTACAGTCAGTATGTGAGAAGCTCATCGCCAGGGTCCAGTTGCCATTGGTTCCTTGGTTTCCTTCAACTTCCAACCCGTTGTCTATGTCCATCGGGGAATGGCACCATTGAGCTAAGCGGCGCGGGTTGTGCATACGCCTACGCCTTGGCCAGTCTTGAGAGCAACACCCGAGACTACTTCTCTCGGTCCAACCGCATCCGAGTAGCCATTGTCCATACACTATGGATAACTAGTGTAACTATTGTATAACTACTATGTACTATGTACGTGGATAGCAGAACATGGAGTCGCGTCCTGTCGCCACGCGCCTATACATGGGTATCACCACTACCTCGTACAGGTAAAACGCCGAAGCCGCACGATTGCGGATTTAGCCGGCCGTTGTGTCTTGCCATGTGATTTGCCAGGTACGGCACGGTACGGAGCCCAAGTCAGCTGAGGTGGCTGCAACACAATGCGATTCTCGTTATGGCTCCTCCTAGCAAGGCGTCGCTTCACACATCACACCACGAGTCCCCTCCTGACCGGCACTACTTATCTAGGCAGTAAGTATGTACTGTCTGTAAGTATGAATGGGTTGTCGTATGTTCAACAATCTTTATCTCCGCCGATTGTGTCATGTCGCGTGCAAAATGTGCCACTAACCTTGCCAGCTTCAACGTACCGCGCGGCGAGGAGACAACTTGGAAGTAATACATAAGTAGATAGAGGTAGTACATAAGCACCCCAACTTTCATTGCCTGCGCCGATCCATCCCACCGGGAGCACGCCGTGTATCGGCATTTAGCTTCCCCCGAGTCATCGCGGCGCTAGAACAACTCGGGAATGTTCCTATCTCGGCTTATAGCTCTTACAGTACTCTAGACAGCCTCTACCCGTGGACGCCTTCTCTCATGTATAGTAGGCAGTATTATACAATGAAGGAACAAGATCCTTCCTTACACGTCATATGCTGAAAGGAATGCAAACCACAGGATGTAAGCCAGAGCTCCCGCACATACTGTAGCTCGTGTAAGTAGGTAATACTACCTAGAGGAGGCCCCCCTCCGATCCTCCACTTTCAGAAAGCACGCGATTAAATATTGGGGTATGCTAGCGTCTTAGGCACGCGGAGTTTATCGGACGGTCGGAGGATCGAAAGTTCGGCCCAGGTCGGGCTAACCTCCAGCATCACGACATTGGACGCCGGGGTGTGTGCGGATATGCTTAACCTAGCGTATTGATGTCCGCATTATGCACAACACAAAGACTGCCTGACCCGGCGTATGGGCAGCGTACATCTACTCACTGAATAATCACATTATTTCCAAGTTATATCTCCATTGTCCTGTCCAGCATCTCGGTCGCCCCTGACAGGCTCTGATAAGACGACAGCCTAGATTGATTGACCTGCAGCATCGAGAGTGTCAACGTCCTTGCCTAATACCACGTACGAAAGAGCTACATGCGTCGCAAAACTTCTATTAATCATGGAGTGTTCTTACCACTGCAGTATCTAGGCGGTGGAGGAAAGGTCCCTTTTTGCCTCAAGTACCCCGTCACAGCACCATATAGTTGGGTGTAGGCGTGCAGGGTCTCGACCTCAAACTGTCGTTTCTATCTTTTGGATAGCGTAGAGGTTTCATACTACACTCCTATTCTGTTCCGTGACACACCCATTTGCCCATGAAAATTAGAGTTGCTAGTAGCCCTTCACCCGGGTATTCAACGCTGATATAGTACTTCTCATTTTCACTGATCCTAGTTAGTGCTACGTGATTATATTTTAATTATACCTCAACTGTGACTTAGTTATACCCTTGTTATTCCTAGTCCTTCAATTGTTATCCGGCGAGTAATACATTGATGGCAACACCGGTGGTGTCCACATACCACACCCGAATATGTTCACAAATCGTGTATTAGTATCCGGTCAACGATGCGCTAATGTATGTTTGATATTGATGATTAATATCAAAATGTCTGGAAATAGAATGCAACTAATCCTTGAATTGGTCAGTCTTTCGCATGTAGTAATTATCAGGGGTCTCATGTCTTGAACTCCCGGACATGCTGCACTGCATCGTCATCTGCCGGCATTGACCATGGCGATACCACCCTATCAAACACATGAAATGATCGGATACTACCTCGCACTATACGTCCTATTTGGGGCTGAAAAGGAATCACCATTGGCAAAGGTGTCGTGATATCTGGGCATGTAACTAGAGCGGTTTGTTCAGAGCAGTTTCCATACACATTCCTATTAGCTTAGTGTATATTGACTTAATTATGTGCATACCAGGCACTTGGTATACTTGAATATACTGAATGAGGTGTATGTACATAAACATCATGCTGTTATTGGACAAAAATGGAACAATAAAGTGTGATGATAGGACCGCGTGCAGGGGCGAACGAATTAAGAAGCCGAAGGTTCAGAAACATCAAATTCGAAAACGCAACCTCGCATCCGACATATTGAAAAGGTAAAAATGAAATTTCCTTTACTAAACTCAGAACACTTTGCTATCTCAACTGGAGTGTGTAGGTAATTCATATGTTCTGATCTCGGAGGATATCTCTGAATCGGCAACTAGCTGTGCTGGGGTAGCAGGTGAGAAACTGGGACTCTTGTATTGGTAATATGACGGTGCATATGATTGTGGGAGACCGTTATCCATCATCATGGTGCTAGGTGGATGTGAATGTAAGTTAAGGTTTTGCTGCTGCTTTACCGCGCTGTGGGTTTTATGAGTTCTCCAGATTAAATACGCCAACAAAGCTGCCAGCAAGACTCCACCCCCTACACCAACCCCAATGCCAATTTTCGCACCTTGGCTGAGTTCAGAGTCGTTTTTGGTATGATCCGGTATTGTACTTGGCGAAGTTACTGTATTCATTGGTGCTGATGAAGTTGTTGAGAAAGCTACGGTAGTTGTTAGTGAGCTTGTTGAGGTTGGCATGATTGACGGCGATGATGAACTGGTACTGAAAGCACCAGGAAGGACTTGAAATTCTTTTGAAGCCGAATTCCAGGAGGCAATAATCAACGTGGGATACGGGAAAACGTCAAAACGACCATCTCCCGAGTCACAACAATCTGCAATAGCACCATTGCAACAATATGAGATATGATCATTTGTAACATTGTTACAAGGTATTAAATCTTCGCCTCCGGTATTAAAGCCTATTAAAAAGTGGATTAGGTTAGCAACCATAACAGGAGCACAACTGAAAGTATATTCAATTCAGAGGGGATTAGCAACTAAGACTCACTGAGACAATATTTTGGACAGGCTGGATCGGTCCAGGACTGGTCGGTACAGGAGCCACGAATAACCCTTCCTATGCCATCTTGACACAGAAGGTTATTCAGGCACGAATTATCCGACGAGGAGCCACAGCAAAAGCTGGCATCGGCGTCAGGATTGCAAGGAGAATCACCATCAGCCTTTTCGCCATTTGGATAGTAGCATTGTAAGGATGCGTTGACCAGTCGAAAATGAATCGCCCACTGGTAAGCGATAATGCACCAAGGCAGAACCGGAGGCGTCATAGTGCTAGATTTCTTAGTGAGGGAAGTTTTGAGGAATTGAAGACAGGAGATATCGGTCTGATATCTGAGGATGAGTATCACCCAATGCAATGCTTGAAAAGGAGTAACATCAATGTACCACTATACAAGAGGCGGCGTAGTTAGCCTTCCAGGGTTACCGTTGGGTCAGCTTGCTGCATGAAACAGCCTCCTACCAACAGATAAAATCCCAGTTACAGTAGTAGCAGACGTCAAAAAGCTGTTGGTTCCGGAGTCTTATTGTTGCCCATAGTACAGGCTGCGTGTCAAAGAGGCAAACAATATTTATCTTCGAAGTATGTATAGGCACCAACACCCTACCTTTTGCATTGGGGCGGAAATCCATGTATGGAAACGTATGAAAACTGCTCCCATGTAGCCCTCACTGCTCTGAGATCGATTTTGGAGCTTCATACAGCAATTTCTTTCTTGTTTGCTCTTGCAATATTTACCCTGTTTTGACTTAATGTATAGCACGTAATCATTGGAAATGATTCGAAAACAAATCTACATAGCTGGCGTTGGGGTCGTAGTCCTTTTCGTTCTCTGCCTGACTTACTCGTTCATCTCCCGTGGTATGTCTTTCGGCCATGGCCAGCCTTTTATGCCACATTTCCTTGGTCCTAACCTGCTGGTTTGATGATCCTAGACATACTAGAATTTTCTTCCTTTCCTCCTCCAACGGATCCGGTCTCATTGAATCAGCAACCCTTCCCACAAAAGATCTGGCAGAGCTGGAAAGATGACTCTGAAGATCCAACAGAGCGAACGGTCGGGTTTCCCCATAAATGGCGTATGGTTAATCCTCAACATCGTTATGAACGTATTACCGACGACAACTGTAACGCCTACGTCAGAGATCGCTTCCCTGTTGACATATCTCAAGTCTTTACCAGTTTGACAGATCCGATTCTTAAAGCCGACTTGTTGCGGTACTTGGTGATGATGCTGGAGGGGGGCGTTTGGGCGGACATTGACGTTTTACCTCACCAGCCAATATCATCTTGGGTCCCTGAAAGATATCAGAATGCTGTCAACCTAGTCGTGGGCGTGGAGAATGACAAGCATAAGAGACCCATATGGCCCGGATCCCCTTACTCGATACAACTTGCCCAGTATACAATACTAGCGAAGCCAAATCACCCTGCTATCGTCACGCTCGTGGATCATGTAACCAAGAATCTGGCTCGGCTATTCGAGACCAAAAAGCCATCCGACCGAGTTACCTTTGCGGAGGTCATGTCAACGACGGGACCGTTCGCGTTCACCGAGGTCATGATGGACTACTTTACGGAAGTAACGGGGACTAAGCATACTGGAGATGAGCTCGACGGCATCACGGAGCCTCAGCTTATTGGCGATGTTCTGGTGTTGCCAATCGATAGCTTCGGTTGGCTACCCCAGGAGCACCAACATGAGGCTGGCGATCCGTCGATTCTAGTAGAACACTTGTTCATAGGTTCTTGGAGGGCAGAACACCTGGGATAACAGAACGGTCACTTTCTGTTTGTGTGTTTTGTGACTAATAGAGACTAGCTAGGCCTAGTATATGATTAACAGATGGGTATTATAACTATATACGGTATACTCAATGTAGCCACACTGGTACTACGGTAGCACAATGTATTATGCGTTCAAAGGAGTAACCCCAGCCTTCTTGTCAGTCTACAAGTCTTATCATTGATTGGTAGAATCGCTTGCATTCGCGACAACAGATAGCGTCTGCCCGGAGCACATTCACCATTACTGCTACTTCCTGAATAAGACTCTGTACGTTTTCATGCCCATGGCGGAAAAGGAGATGCCGCACGATCATCAAGGACCGGTGCACCGCACAAGGATGACAGATCATCCACTCACTGAATGATCACTTTTAGTATGCAATGATGCGTCACGATGTTAGTGTACCTCGGGGTAATTGTCGTCTGGTGTATCACCAGGCTAACACTTGCATTAATAGCTTTGGCATAAGAAGTCCTTGGTGAGTTCACTGGGCCCCCTGTATTGGCGGGTGGGCTTTTCCCATGGACAATGAATCTTACTTATGGATAGGAAGCTATTGCCGCGAAGGAAGTGAGTGTCTACAGTGATCGTCCTTTGAGGCACACGCTAATATTGATTTCCAGAGTGCGGAGATGCAGATCAAAGTAAGAATCAAACATAATCTGTTCATACAATATGAGTGACTATTAGTCTATCTCTGCGAGAAGGGATACAAGGTGAGGATCTCACTATAAAGCTATTTGCTTGCTTGCTTACTTCCTTTACTTACTTATTGACAGGAATGGGAAAAGAAAGTCGAAGTAACTTTGTGCTGCTGCTTCTACTGTGTTCAATAACTAACATAAGATCATAGAAAGTAAGTTTCCCGTATGGGCTTAACAACAGGGGATAACTCGTTCAGTGGAAGATGGGAGTATTAAACTACTACCAGAGCTCTTAACGGGAGTGTAACGATGTAGGGGCCTGAGTAATTATCGCTATTAGCACTGTCATGATGAATGAAACTTCTTGCGAGTGTTCTTCTACTATATGAGGGATCATTTCTTCTAGCGCCCAACCGCATTTCGTCTATTCTTTGCTTCTGCTAAATACCATCCTCTTAATTATCTTCTAGGACTGACTGCTTCACACTCTTCTCAATGACTATTACCACTGCCATCAATGGCCTTGATCTCGGCCTTAATGTCCTCATCAAACCGCTTCTTCTCAAAACTCCACCACAGCCGCCATCCCACAGCAACGACGACGGTGAGGGGTACAGCGAACGCCCAAAACACCCAGAACAGCTCTGATACGACCATGCCGCCATCATTTTCAGGCTGCCAGTCGAAGAAATCCGTGCTGAAGATGGTGGCTACGAAAGTCCCAGGGAGAAACAGCGCAGTCAGGAAGGCGAGCGTCTTCATAGCGGCGCTGTCATGGCTTGAGGCTGCGGCTAGACGGGCGTTGAGACGGTTGTCGACTTGCGAGATGATGCTGTGTAACTAGTGTCCGGTGAGTAAACTTGAAAAGGGGCTTGGTGGACTTCAGCAGGGGTGAACCTACGACGCTCATGTCTGCTTGACCGTTCTCCTTCATCCCAATGGTCTGCCTTTTTATCCCTTCCGCCAATGAAGCCAGGTACCGAACCTTTGCCCCCATCTCGTGCGAACGCGCGCCACTCATTCCCTCCAATTCTACTAGCACCTCGAGGAGCAGCTTCATACAGGCGCACTGGCAGTCTGCCACGCCGCAGTACCAGACGACGTCGAACATCAGCCCGCTCATGGTCACCGTGAGCTCCGCGAGGTTGACCTTGGCCTGCTGCACGGGCATATCCGCGGCGATGTTGCGCGGCTGCTCGAGCGCGAGACGACCAGCGCGGACCACGCCCAGCTGGTGCTGCACCTTCGTGTGCTGGTTCCCCAGCGTCACTGTTACGAAATAATCCGTCCGCAGCAGGTGGTGCTGCATCACGATCGCTGGCAGACACAGCGGATGTGTCCATAGGCGACGCGCAGCTTTCATGTGTTCGTAGATCTCGGCGGCTGGGCATGCGCTCCAGAGCCCGTAGTCGTCGCCGTCTTGAGTCACGCCCGTGCCGTGCAGGATCCCTGTGGTCATGTTCGTGGCGAAATCGTACGAGAAGGTGAGCCCGTAGTTGCCTACCTGGAATTTCTGGTGCGCCTTGATGATCATGCTTAGGCGTCTCAGCTCTCCGCTCTTCTCGTCGACGTCAATAGCATGGGACGACATGCCACTTTCGTGGGCGAGCGCGAGGAGTCCGTCCTTAGGCAGAGAGAAGTGCTTCTCGATGGCTTGGTACGTCTCTTGCTTGATACGAAAGCTTGGAGGTTGGTAGTAGTCGCGTTCTAGGATTAGAAGTCTGATCCCAGCTATTGATGTGGTGTTTGGAGCTTGAGGCTTTGGCGGCGCGTATTTTCCACGCTGGGTAACCCAGTCCAGAATCTCGTCGCCGTTAAGTACGCCATACCAACAAGACGCGACCTCGTTAATGCTTCCAGCTTGACCTCTCGCATTATGCTGCCGAGCCGCGTCAGTAAACACTGCACAGGGTGTTTCACGATGGGATGAGAAGCTGTATTTACCCTCTGGCTCCCTAGGACTTCAATGTATTCAGCCCTCTCCGTGCCTGTGATATTCCATTCTTGATTGAGGACGGTGGGAGTTAGTGGTACGTTCCCATGGTTGGCGAAACGCCTGTACGAGAGCATCCTGTCATGTGGAAAGGAACCATGATTTGTGCGGTCTGCATCCTGCCTATTTCAGCTGTTTGCCTTGGTGTATAGTAGCTAAGGCTGAGTCGGCAAGGAGGACTGAGCTGAGCTGCCTGGGCGGCAATCGATTGGCTCATGATGGTTTGGGCCAGGGATTTGTCGCCAGGGTTGAATGAAAGACGTGTAGGCATCTACTACGTATATAGAGTCAAAAAAGCGTCAATTGAAATTGGATATTTACTCGAGTACCTAGGTATTCCACCCATCTACGCATGGACTATATATGTTAGCAGGTTCAGATGCGAAGCAGGAAAGGCCTCGACACGTACACCTATGGCTCCCTCCAGGTCTCCAGACCCGTCCCGATCCCTGACGGCAAATTTAATTCATGGAGATAGGGTGAAGTGTATGCATCCTGGGCCAGTATGCACATGTAATCAATCCCTTGCCAGTTGATGTATGCATAGGATGCAGTGAGAATACAATAGAAGGCCACCTTGTTGCTAGAAAGCGATGTCCATTAACATGATGTCCATTAACGAGGTGTCACAATCCAGTCTCACGAGCAACCCAAAGCTGCCTAGCGCCAACGAAAACGCCGTATCGACTGCCGAGAGAGCCCGTTTTAGTGGGCCTCTACTGAATATAGAGGCTTACAGGTGCCTAAATAGGCATTTTGTACGGGCTTTATGTATCTTGACCTCACACCGAGTGTACCGCATAGCAGCAGCTTATCATTATGGGATGCAACGCTCATTGCAACCTACACCAGGACTTGCGCTGAGCAAGGTAGCCTGGAACAGTGCATATACCTAGGTATATAAAGTCGAAAGAGCACTTGCAGTCATCCTCCCGGAAGTTCGTGACGCCTACTTTCTCATGGGCTGCGTCTCTCTCCAACCATGTCTAACACCGGTACCGCCAACTCGAAGCTGCCACCACCCACCATGGATGGCCAGCTAGGAATCCAGCAGATACTTGAGAGGCCGAAAGTCACCTTGACTGGCGTCACCGAGACATTGCTCATCCCGCTCCTCGGCCGAGCTGCCGATGCTGCCACCGAGCGCCCTATTCTAGGGGACCGCTACGCGAAGGGCGTTCTGGAGAAGCTCGACTACGATTTCGGCAAACTCCCCATGCCACCCACTCATGCCGGCGGTGTCGCCTTGCGCGCCCGTTTCTATGACCGATGGACTTCGGCATTCCTATCGTCTCGTTCTCATACCACGGTCCTGCACCTAGCCTGTGGCCTGGACAGTCGCAACCAGAGGATTGAGTGGGGGCCGAATGTACGCTGGATCGACATCGACCTCCCCGACGTCGTCGACCTGCGTCGCCAGGTGCTGCCCACATCGCTCCCTGGTCAGGATTACCGGCTCGTCTCTGCCGACGTCACCGACGATGCCTGGTTGAAGGAAATCCCGACCGATCGACCAGTCGTCGTAGTCATGGAGGGCTTGTTGTCGTACCTGGAGCCCGAGGATGCGACGGGTCTGCTGAAACGTCTCGTCGAGACATTCCAGGAGGGCGAGCTGCACTTCGACTCGATGAGTGCCATGCTCCTCAAGGAAGGCAACAAGCAAACCAAGATGGCGGTAAGCAAGACCGGGGCGAAGTTCAAGTGGGCGGTCGACGACTTGAAGGAGATTGAAAAGATCCATCCCCATTTACGCATGCTCGAGGCCATCCGCTACATCGAAGCCCCCGGGGTCGAGGAGCTCCCTATACTGAGTCGCATCGGGTATTACATGTTGTCTTGGATGCCTAGCATGCGGGATAGTGTGCGGTTTGTACGGTTTGGATTCTCGGATGATGTGAAGGAGGGGAATTCTTGTTAGTGCTATGGCTCTAAGGGGATATATATCATCGTCGTTGCTACCATCTCATTGCTGCCTTTGATGTACTTGCCGACGCATAGAGCGCTTTGGCTCTCACTATTATACGTACCCCCCTTCTCCCAAGCCTACCTATTTCTCAACCCTCACGATTGCCTTCACCTTGTACGATGAAGGATTAGTAAACAGTGATCTAACTTCCCGTCCCTTTCGATTCTCCTATAGGCGGGCAATGAAAGTGTTACCTACCTTGTACCTACTTAGTAGGTATGTAGTATCGTGCTACAACGATCAAGGGGTCGTGTTATTGGAAGCAGGGTACCGATTATAGGGGTAGATGTGTGTACCTCATTACTTCCATTGCATGACTTGATGCACTGGTATGGAACTTGGAAGGCATCGAACAGTCTAGGTACCTACATTGGGTTTGTGCACAAACATCTCACATACCTGCATATGTAGGTACATTTTCAAGTACCTGGTTTTCATATGGGGCAAATTCTCATACCCGCGGGCGGCTACTTCCTCAAGGTTGGCTTAGGTTGGCACAGGTTAGTCAAGGAAGGAAGGCACAAACAGGGGAAGCTATTACTTAAACTTGCAGCCTTGTCGTATGCCGACCTCGTGTCCATCTTTTCTCGAACTTCCCTCCAACTTCGCCCGACCTATTATCAAACTTGCCGATTCACTCACTCCACACCCGCCACAATGGCCACTCGCAACGTTACCACCATCACCTCCGTACCACCCGAGGTTATCTTAGACATTCTAAGCCATCTGAAGAAAAAGAGAGACTGGTTTGCTCTGGCCAGGACTTGCCGACATGCCTCGGTTGTTATCGTCCCCGAACTCGACAAGTTCAACAGCGATGAAGGGCTCGACTACGCCTTTTGGTACTCGTGTGTTGCAAGCAACTTTGCTATACTAGAACCTTACATAGCCCGCGACCGCGCTGTCGTCAACCGCCACTTCACTCGCGACTTTACAAACAAGAGAATGAAGTTTCCGTGCGGCAAGGGGATGACGCCTTTGGCTGTTGCTATCTTGTCTGGTAGGGACCTCGTTGTCCAGCTACTGCTCCGTAACGGCGCTGATCCGAACCTCCCCGATCGCGCGCCTATGTCGCCAAACTCTGTAATCTGGTACCCAATCAATTGGGCCGTGGCATCTAAGCACGAAAGCTCCATCGCCATCATTAAGATGCTTAAGGATTATTCGGCCAATATAAACCAGGAACCGGGTTCCTGGTCCCCAACTGAAGGGATAGATGAATCACCCGTAGAGTGGCATAGAGGCATGAAGTGTGCTCCCATCTTCCGTCTCTTGCTACTCGAAAAGCCCCACCGCAGTTCTTCGCTTCGCAAGCAGCAAACCAGCTGCGAAATGTACAATAAAGACTTCAAGACCATCCAGGACATACGCCTTCGCCAGCTCCGGGCTCTTCTGGAGTGCGGCGCTAACACATCCTTGCGCGAAGAAGAAGGTGGTAGCACGCCTGTTGACTACCTCTTACAGAGCGTTATGTTTTACCAACCGTGCTTCTATTTTTCGGACAAGCTAATGTTGAGCCACGAGGAGGAGGAACAGGCTAGATTGGTCAACAATATTGTTATCTCCTTCCTTGAGACTCTCCGCGAGTTTGGTGTCGATACGACAACACAGTTGGACTCATTTGGTTATACACTTCTGCACGTAGTATGTACGCTAACTGACCGCCATAAACCGCTGATTCACTGGTTTTTGCGCAACGGTGCAGACATCAACCGCTCTGCCATAAATGGGGACACGCCACTTATGGAATATTGTCACTCGCGTATGCGTAGTGTAGACATGTTTAAGGAGTTCCTCAGCTATCGCCCTAGGGTCAATCATCGTAACACGCAGTGTCAGACGGCTCTTCACTTTTTATGTGCCAACAGTTCGGTGCCCGCCCAGGTACAGGAGAAGGCAGTGAGAATGATGCTCGATGCAGGTGCTAATCCCACTGCCGAAACGAAACAAGGTGTTACTCCGGCATATGAGTTTGCGATGCAAAAGATGCACGATGCACGTGCTAGTGCGGAGGTCATACCAGATCTTGAGGAGGTGGAGAAGTTTGTGGCCGAGAACCTATTCAAGGATGACGATGAGGGTGTATGGAAAATGCTTAAGGATGCGGAGGAGGAATGGAAAGAGCACGAAATTAAGAAAAAAGGTAGACAGATACGTGTTCCGACAGAGAAGCGCACTGTTCGTCTTCCAAATGGTGAAAACCAATAGCGTGGCAATCACCAAAGAGGCCGGGCGACTAATAACAAAGAGAATGGTCAGGAATGTCACACACCTGGAAGTCAAGTTCATGAGCTAGCTAAGTCGGTTGAAACCCTAGAAATGTGCTACAAAGACCCTGATAAGAATCAACAACGTGGTGGCGCCCAAGGAGGTCATAGAGGTGGTCATACAAGTGCCGTGACCAATATCAAAGCGAACAGGGAGGAAAATTGCCGTGAGGGTACCCAGCCAGCATCAAGGCCTCATGCAGAACGATCCGTGCTCAAGAAATTATGTACTTTCTCAGAGTAAACCGAACCCAACCGGCGACTCGAATTGAGAGTATACATACATTTGTTGAGTGAATGTACGGACATGGATGGACTGTCAGGACATAAAATCCTTAATCGGAGTAGTTAGATGCTTTGGTCGCCTTACCTTACTCTAGCTGATTTAATGAGGAATTGCAGTTATTCGAATATGGTTGACGTGTGCGTGTGTCCTCGTGTACGTGGATGCATTTCGAACACATACCTACTTACTTACGTGTGCAAAGATCCACTTTAGAGCCTGGAATGAATACCTACTTGAAGTCATGAGAGGTAGAAAACCAGAAAATTCGAAAGTAACTTCGTGTTCATTCATTTCTATAAAGCAGAGTAACTATGTACACAGTAATGTGATGTAATGTACTTAATGAGTATCCTGAGATGTGGGGAGGAGAGGAGGGCATCAATCAACCCCGGATTCCGCCGAATAGCCGAGCTTTGCCGATGCCACGCTACAGCTAGCTCTTTACCTAACTAACCAACCTATATACGTAAAAGATCGCGAATCACGATGTGGCTAGACTAAAAAGCCGCTGTAATCCCCTTCGTCCGTCGCGCAGCAGCTAATTACCTGCTGGGTTGGCGGGGAAGGAGTGGGGAGGGGAAAGAAATAAGAAACGCAGAGGTTCTTCAGGAATGAGTATGGCTTGAGCATAAATATATATATTCATTACACATCTTTCTCATATCTAACTTAACTAGAACCAACGCGTCACAAACGCCATTTACCGGAATTTCAGTTCCCGTTCGAGAGCGAAAAGCAGAAGCAAACAAGGCAGAAACTCATTCGCATGCAAAAATATGAAGGTATCGAGAGCTTGAGTATGATAGGCGTGGGCTCGAGAAGAGATCCATTTCGTCTTGATCGCCGGTTTCCTCCGAAAAGGACAGGTATTCTCCCTGAGAGACTTGAGACTTGCGATGAGAACCGGCTCTCCTGACCTGTCTCGAGTATGTGGCTATCATGAAAATGGATCGGTCAAGGTATGGAAGGGATGAGAGGGGTGACTGAGGTAATGCATGATCGGTCGTCGTCTTCGTATCCATCCATTCATCATCTTTGATGCCCAATCCATGCTTTAAGGAATCCCATATCCCCAAGAAGACGTCGTTTCATTCCGTCATTTGAGATCGAGTGTGGCGGAGCGATGGTGGGCGACATTATCGGGAGCGCTCAAAGTATTTGCTGGTCCCGGCAAATGCTACCGACTGATCCAGCACCCACTCGCCTACACCGAGGTACTTGTTGACCCATTTGTTCATCTCGCCATTGCCGTCGCCCGTTATGCGTTCGCTCTTGACACTATGTGGCATGCGCGTCATCGGCGATAGTCAGCTCCCGTGTTCTCGTTGTTTCACATGCATGGGGGTCGCTTCTCCTCCTCTTATGTGCTCCTCCTCGTGTGACCTCTGTACGCTACACTGGCGAGGGGTAGAAGAGAGATGGAGCAAAACTCACGTGAGACCAGTCGAGCGTCGCATGCCGGCGAGGATTGTCGAGACTGTGAAAGAGACGGTCCGTTAGTGACCCGGAGGGAAGAGGCGGGAACGAAGGGAGAGACATACTAAGGACAGCGTCCAGGGCGTAATGGCTGAGGCGTCCGAGCTTTCCCCAGAGGCCAAATGTCAGCAAATTGAGGAACTGACGAGGCCATGTTTCAGAATTCAGCGTGCTCGATCAGACAGACGGCCCCGAACGCAGGGCTCGCCCGGGGAGTTGGGCTCGGTGCAGGGTGGAAGAGCACTTACAACCATCTTGATCGGAAGGCCGGGGGAAGAATCGGGTATGGCTTCGTTTCGTTTGATTTCGAGTTGTCTTTTGGTTTGTTTTCCCCGTTCGTATATCGCAGGGGAAGACCGAGCCGAGGGATCGAATAACAGGCGCGGAAATACGTACTCTGCAATGCACAAAGGCTTGAAGCGCTGCGAGGATCGGTTCGGGAGGGGTTTGCAACTTGTCGGTGAGCTTGAAGCTTGGATGAAAGATGATGGAACGAACTAAAGGCGATGGCGAGAGAGAAAAGCCGACGATAACGGCGGAGAACAGGTGCTCGCCGCGCGAACCAAGCCCCATGTGGTAAGATGGCGTTACCCTTTTCCTCTTTTCGGCATAGCTCACGTTACATGCGTGTAACACGTACATGGATGCCTGCCTTTGTCGGTAAAGCGTCTAATTCACATGTCGAGGCTTAGCTAATTTCCACTTTGCTCATATAAGACAAAGGTATCCAGGTCCACCCTAGCGGGTATCTCTTCTTACTTCTCCAGCCACGCCTCTGGTTACAGCCACAGCGTCCTCGGAGCCACTCAGCGCTTATCTATTGGCCTTACACGTTGTGTCTTATCAGATCACTGCCAAGAAATACCTATGGATCTTCCCCTCTACAGAGGTACCTACATACCTGCAGGTCGTAGGTACCTCTACTTCACGGTTCACACGAGTAACATCTGATCAAGGCTGCCGAGTTACTCAAGGATGTCTCTCTTTTTCTGTCCTTGCCTGTATAACCCATGCTTGGTACACAGCGAGGGACACAGCAGCAGTGGCTGGTGTAAGCAGACCAATGGCGGGGCTGTCAGCACTCCACGATGGCATTTGATTGGTGGATGCGAGTTGTTGAGGGGTGTCTACGCCCTTTTTTTTGGTTGGAGGGGTCGTTGCTTGGGTCGTTGCTTGCTGGTTGAGGCACTTTTTCAGGCTCCCCGCACCCCACCTACCCACCAATCTGCCTAGACATGCTAGCTATCTATGCATACAAAGTCCGGTGGAAATCTGACTCTGGCCCAATTGGCACCACCACGGACAACCGAGAGGCATATTTCTCGACATACCGACCTCCTTGTTCCTTGCTCTGTCCTGTCCTGTCCTGTCCTGTTCTGTTCTGTTCTGTCCTCGACAATTCCCTCATCCCTCGCATCCTTCGCCTTCCTCTCCTCTCCTCTCCTCCTCACTCACCCATCATCCATCATCAATCAGTCTTCGCCGCCGCCGCCGCCCTTTGCGACTGTGACGAAGAAGTTTACTTAGGTGCTTCACGCAGATCTCCCCTCTACTCGATTGTCCTGGTTGGTCCGGAGTCTCAACTCTGACTAGCAAGACAGTCGATCCTTGGTCAAGGTACGTACAACTCGAGCTCCGGGGAGACATCGCTCTCCTCTTGTCTTGTCTTGTTTCGTTTTGTTTTGTGTCATTTCCATCATCTCAACTTCACGTGTCCGATCCCCCGCGAAGCAAGATATGGAGATTCAAGAGGAGCAACAAGACAAGCTCGAGCCGCAATCATCTGCTAGAAAGCGAGCTACACCTTGTTCTACATCAATCGATACTTGACAGCACAGCTTGGCTGGTGGACTGTCCTGTTTGCTGGGGTCTGGCCACAAGCCTTGCAGCTGCGAAACATTCATGTTTCAAGCCCTTTCTCTCGCCAATGATGAGACAACCCTGCTAGATACATGCTTGCATATTCATATCATTCTCCGCAAAGTCATTTGCCGTGATCTCGGCGAATGAGGCTGTGCTGTGATGCCTTCGTGTGTTTGGTGACTTGGATTTGGCCTCTTCACCATCATGTCTCCAGAAAAGTTCTTTTTTCTTTCTTTTTCTTTTTTGAATTCTTCGAATAACCATATCCTACCGGATTTGTTTTCTAATTAATATCGGCAGTCTCGATCCCGCTTATCGACGTGTATCTTACCAGCTCGATACTCCCACCCCCTTAAATCCTTTACAATGGCGTCACACAAGCGAAGACAGTCCATCGCGACGAAGGGTCTCGACCATTTGAACCTCGGTAGCAAGATTGAGTGGCTTGCTGCCCTTGATACCGCTTATGCTCCCGAACATAACTATCGCCGCTCAAGTATCATCTGCACAATTGGTCCCAAGACGAACAGCGTCGAAGCCATCAACAAGGTCAGAATGCTCTATACCCTCATATACCCTCCTTATATACCACTCTCGCTCACTGCTTTGATAGCTCCGTCGTGCTGGTCTCAATGTTGTCCGCATGAACTTTTCCCACGGCTCTTACGGTATGAATTCTCCTGATATCTTCATATCGGATCGACTCGGCCGGCTGCGTCGCTGTTATGCCTGGGTGGAGTTCTAGACAGAACGAGCTGCGAATGCTAATAATTTGACGTGTAGAGTACCACCAATCCGTCATTGACAATGCCCGAGCTGCCGAGAAAGCCCAAGCCGGGCGTCCCGTCGCCATTGCTCTGGACACCAAGGGCCCTGAGATCCGAACTGGCAACACCAAGGGAGATGAGGATCTACCCCTATCTGCCGGAACGGTCCTGAACATCACTACTGATGAGCAATACGCCACTGCTTGTGACACTGAGAATATGTAGGTTGTTTAGTGCTTGCTCAGCCGCCTCCAAACTAACGAGATTGATTAGGTATGTTGACTACAAGAACATCACCAAGGTTATTACGCCTGGTCGTATCATCTACGTCGATGATGGCATTCTCGCCTTCGAGGTCCTCGAGGTTGTTGATGACAAGACTGTCAAAGTCAAGGCTCTCAACAATGGCTTCATCAGCTCCCGAAAGGGTGTGAACCTCCCCGATACCGATGTTGATCTTCCTGCCCTTTCAGAGAAGGACAAGAATGATCTCCGCTTCGGTGTAAAGAACAATGTTGATATGGTCTTCGCTTCTTTCATCCGCCGTGGCCAGGATATCAGAGATATTCGCGACGTTCTCGGTGAAGACGGCAAGCACATCCAGATTATTGCCAAGATCGAAAACCGACAAGGCATTATCAACTTCGCAGAGATCCTTCGTGAGACAGATGGTAAGTGAACTACGAATATTGGACCCCTTGATAAACGAGTTTTCCACACCCATGCAATCAAGGACCAAGACGTGAGCTACTACTTACGCGTATTAGGTGTCATGGTCGCCCGTGGTGATCTTGGTATTGAAATTCCTGCTGCTGAGGTTTTCGCTGCTCAGAAGAAGCTCATTGCCATGTGCAACATGGCTGGCAAGCCCGTTATTTGCGCTACCCAGATGGTTCGTTATCCCCCATACTCAACCCATTTGCTGGATTGATAGGCTTACAAAGACGACAGCTTGAAAGTATGATCAAGAACCCTCGCCCAACTCGTGCAGAGGTATCTGATGTCGGAAATGCCATTACTGATGGCGCTGACTGTGTGATGTTGTCTGTAAGTCAATTCAAATCTTCTCTTATCAAAAGAGTTTCTGTGCTCCTCTGCGAGCTTGATTGAATCATCGATACTGCATACCTTCATGATCCCTATTTCCGAGTTGCTGTATATAGTCTAACCCTCGTTTGCCTTAGGGTGAGACTGCCAAGGGTAACTACCCTGACAAGGCCGTTAGTGAGATGCACGAAGCCTGCATCAAGGCCGAGAACTCCATTCCCTACGTCAGCCACTTCGAGGAGTTGTGCTCAATCGTGAAGCGACCGGTATCTGTGGTTGAGTCGATTGCCATGGCCGCTGTGCGAGCCTCCCTCGATCTCAATGCCGGTGGTATCATCGTTCTATCTACGACAGGTGACTCGGCTAGACTACTGAGCAAGTACCGACCTGTCTGCCCCATTTTCATGGTCACACGTACTCCCAGTGCCAGTCGGTATGCTCACTTGTACCGTGGTGTCTACCCCTTCCTGTTCCCTGAGAAGAAGCCCGACTTCGACAAGGTCAACTGGCAAGAGGATGTGGACAAGCGCATCGGCTGGTGTATCAACAACGCCCTCAAGTTGAATGTGCTAACTCTGGGAGAGACGATTGTGGTTGTTCAGGGTTGGAGAGGTGGCATGGGTAACACCAACACGATCCGTGTCGTCAAGGCTGACCCTGAGCACCTTGGCATTGGCATGCTGGAGTAGAGGAAAGGACCAGAATCAGAGAAATGGTCACTTGAATGAAGGGTTAATGCCCACCCAGTTTGCCCTGTGGTACTGGAGAAATGTTGGGGGTAAGGCGTAACGCGTAATTAAAGTATGCTCTGCAGACAGGAGCAGAAGTACATTGTTGGCTGGGAATCTGATTGATTTGGTTGTTAGAAATGATGACAGTCATTAATACCAAGTATACACTAGATAGACTACAGAGGTCCATTGCAAAACAAAAAGGAATTAAAAAGAAGAGAATATCTGGTGTGCTTTTACTGTGTTATCCAAGTCCCAGTGCAGTGAATCTTGAAGTGATCGTTGCTCGAGATTTTGCTCTCTGTTCAGTGTGTAGACTCAGGATGCTTTGGACTTGGGTGGAAGCAATATGCTTGGAAGCCATTAATTCTAAAATAATTAGTGAGTGGTGTTTAATAGTTATTGAAGCTTGATGTTCTTTTTTTTTTTTTTTTCCAAAGATGATTTCTGATGCTTTTCCCCAGCGGTGCTATGTACTTATGGTGTTGTTATATAGAGAGAGAGAGAGAGTGTGTGTGTGTGTGTGTGAGTGAGAGAGACCTATTATGTATGGTATCTACATATGAATTCACAACTAGAAACATTGGTAAGTAAGTAGGTGGGTGGGTAGGGATGTATCTGGGGATGTATCTGTCGTCTATTCATTCATCCATAGCTAGCTACGGACTAGATGAATTTATACCTTGGCTATTATAGAAAGCAAGATAATTCACCATGTCAACTGAGGACTTGAGTGCCGTTGGAATGTACAAGGAGGATTGCGTACACTGTTGATATTGCTATCGCTTTAGATGAAGACAAATTATGAAGATAAAATGTAAGGTAGGAAACTGGGTGAATATATATATATATACATACATATTAGACAACTAGGTAAACTGATACAAGACGAAATGAAAATGACTAGCTCCCTGCGTATCTATCTAATCGAGAGTACGACGACTTTCCGAAAGAAGATCTGGCGGGACCTCGTTCGCGCTGCTCTCTCTGCTGAGGGGATGATGTTTCTCATTCTCCTCTTCCTCGTTATGCTCATGCTCGCCATCTTCTCCTTCTGCACTCGGTTCAGAGCGAGCTGTCTTTGCTCGAGCGGGACTGTGCATAGACAGGAATTCGGGGGGTATGTCGTTATGTCGTTCATCGTCATCGTCCTCGTGAGTGACGGGCGCTTCGCTGAGTAAACCATGCGGGACTTCATTATCGCTATTATTAGTATCATCATCATCATCGTGATTGTTGTTGTGGGGTTCCCGGGGTGTGATCTCAAGACCGCTAGTATCAGGATTGGATGGGGACGTAGGGGCTATCTGTTGCTCGTCCGTTCCGTCCCAGCGGCGGAGTATACTGCCTGTTATATCTTCGTCTTCTTCTTCCGCCCTTTCTCTTCCTTTATCCAAGTCTCTCTCTCTTCTTGTTAATGCTTCGTCATCGTTATTAGTGAGCAAATCGTCATCGCGCGAAGGTGCATTAGTAGTTCCAGTCGGAGGCGTCACCACGCCATCTGCCCAGCCCACGACGTTGAGCGTATCCCCGAGCTGTGTCTTCAGCCCGTAGAAATAGTTGATCTCAGCCCCAAGGGCCGTCATGAGTAATTTCCATCCTTGCGCCTCGGCGTATTCGTATAGTTCCTCGAGCTCGTGTATCATGTCTTTAGACAGAGTATATTGTTTCTTCAAAATCTCGCCTAGTTCGTTGAATTTGGAGGATCGATGACGCTGTTTAGAAGAGTATTCAGACATGGCATTGAAGGTTGAAGTGAGTTGTTGATCATACGCTTCGAGACGGTCGACCATGTCGTGCCACAATTGTGTTCCCTCGTCCAAAGCCCCGCGCTCCCTGTCTACGGCTGTCTTGCGCAGTTCCAGGACTTGTATTTCTCCTTCCCACCAATCTTTGGCCATGGGCAGTGTCCTTCGTTCGGGCCGCAGAGATAGGAATTCGAGCCCGGAGATGTGCTGACCAGCCAGAGCGCGGAGGTCCGTGTCTTGGGACATGAGCCCTTCAACCTCGAGGACAGATACTTCGGGGTAGTTCATGATGTCGCTGATACGCTTGTCGCATTCATTCAGCGCGCCCTTGTAGCCGCTAAGCTCCGAGTCCCGTGTGCTCTTCGCCTCAGCGATCCTATTCTCAAGTCTAGTCTTCGTCCGCTTAAGATCGTTAAGTCTCTCCTCTAGCTTTAGAATCTCTTCGCATACAACTTGGTGTTTCCGCTCCATTTTCCCGATCTCGTTCTTATAAGGCTGGTCATGCTCTGACTCGATCGACTTCATCCCGGCAAGTATGGAATTCCGCTTGCTTGACAAGTTCCGCAATCTCGACAGGGCGGCCTTGCGCTCCGCGAGTGCTGTCGCGATGTAGGCCTCTTCTTCGTTCTTCAAGTCAGACAACTGAGACATGCAACGTGAGATGCCAAGGCGAGCCTCTCTCTTGGACAAATGTCGCTTCTTAGGCTGGCGCACGGGAATGACATGTCCATTCGGGTTGTCGAATACGGGGGTCCCCGATCGCTGAGTCGTCCCATCATCGTCATCATCAGCTGGTGCTGTGTTGGCCAGATGCTTCTCTAAAGCGTAATCTTGAGCGTTCAAAAGATGCTGCAGCTCCTGCTGCATTTGGCGTTCGCGTCTTTCTATCAGTTTGAAGCTTTGGTCTAGCTTCATAGAATGAGATCTCTCGGTATATGCGGGACGGGAGCTGAACATTGTCTCAAAGAAGGACTGTTGCGGTCTGGTGGACCCCGCCTGCGGAGGACGGTCCTCAGAAGTAAAAGTAAAGGACGGGCGCCAGGTCTTGGAGACCATGTCATTCTCCTCGCGTGTGTGATATGGCATCTCTTCACCTATATTTTGAGCGGTATTGTCTCTGGCCCGACCAAATGACCATGGCGGTTCTCGAAATGCCACGGATGCCTTCATTCCTACTCCGTCACCCTTGCCTTGTGGCTGCTTCAGCATTCTCTCCTTGCGCAAAACACTAGAGCTGCCGCGTTCCAGACCATTGTCGGGACTTTCGTCGGCCAACAGCGCATGTTCGGGGCGAGGAGAGAGCTCCGCGAGATCGTGTTCGTCGACGGGCCGCGAAGGAGGCGACGCATACTGCAATAGGAGAGAAGTCATGCTAGCCTCACCAGACCTTATTTTTGAGATGATATTTCCAGCAAAGCTCATAGCTTTCTCGCAATTGGCTTATGAGCTTCACTGAGTGAGTGAGTACGTGGCGAGGGCGGAAAGTACCTAGGTATCTGAGAGTTTTAAGCCACACTATCGAAAGCTCCCAAAAAGCACGTGTCCAAGATGATCCAAGGGCATAAAGGCGCCAGGGGCAACGACAACCAAGTACAGACTGTTATTCAAGGCGGAAAAGACGATGTGGCAGTATGAAGATGTCTCTCCATGTATACGGGATGGTTTGTGAGAGCTACCTAGGTAGTTACTGTCACAAAGCAAGCGGATATGTCTTCGTGTGGGCGAGGACAAGGTAGAAAGAACAGACGTGCATGTGACAGAAAAGAGTAGTAGATGAAGCTCGCAGTAGATATCTACATTAAGTTATGTAGCCAAGTCAGCACCCACGATGATCTCGTGTGCAAGTCCCTAAGCTCGCCTAGGTAGGTAACTGGCATGGCTGGCAGTAGCGATGATATCAGTGGTGATGGCTTATCGATAGGTACTATGGAAAGAGGTGTAAGGGGGGTCTGTCACGAGCTTCTGACAGGTGAGCTGCTGAGCTGCTCAGCTGGCTCACTTGGCACAGTTAGGGAGCCAGATGCGCTGAACTGTGCTGGAATTCGGTAAGTATATAGGTATGTACCTAGGTAGGTACCTGAGTACCTGAGGCCGGAAAGTTCCGACGAAACACCTGATGAGAGACAAATTACCGAAAACATGGTCCATGATGATTGGCATTGATTGTGATTCCTAGTCCTGTGCGACATACTCAGATGTGTTCACTATAGTCTATGGGGAGAGATGATGCAACAGGTAAACATAGACCGTGTATCCATAGTCTTGTGGTAAACATGACTATACATGACGCCGCAGTTGTTGTTGTATGGGTAGCATCAGCGGTGACTGCGAGTTCTGCAGCTAGCCATCTACTTACTGATATTCATATCATCTTCATATACCATTTATATACCAGCTTCAACGAACAGATCGTCATAAGTAGTAATCCGTAGTTTAATCATGTTAGATGATCCCTGAGCCCATCAAGCGTCGATATTAAACCACCAACCAGGCCATCCCGAATTTAGGCGAGAATGCACTCTAACCCCTGCACATTCACGAACCCCCTTGGAGGAAGAGATCGAGGGGGAGTTGTTTGCCCCAGAGCTGCGATGGCGGAGGAATGTAAGCGTAACCTCAATCTATATCTTCCGCAAATATTAGGTAGGCGGAAGCGAAAGATCGGGATAAGAGCTGGTCTAGTGTCTGTGCCAGTACTACCATATTTACGGTGTACGCTGCGTATGTTTCCTCGACACGTAGTACAGTAGATGGCTCCTTGATAATTTCATCGCGTTTTATGTGCCACTTGTTTTATCATGATACCGCATACATAGAACATACAGGCACATGGGCGTCGTGCAGTGCGTGTGTACCGTTGGTATTACCGACTATCTCATTTCTATGCAGGTACATACACATACACACGTTTGTGTCTACGTATCCGTGCGGGAGATGATAAGGGAAACAAACCCTCACTCGTTTGTGTTCGATTGAGGTGGGTGGGCTCATGAATATCTCCTTCCTCGAATGTCTCCTCGGTATGCACGTCAAGAATTCCTTTGACCTCGACATATATATTGAATAACCTCCGTTGGCACAGCTTGAGCTCACTTCTTGTTCTCTTAAACTTTATCCTGTAAGCCCTTTTTTACTTCGGCCCTGGGACAACCTACATGCGCATATATCTCAAGTTGGACAAATCCTAACGCACACCAACTGCCTACCTAATCAAACATGCGCTGCGCCGTCTTTCCCGCCCTCGTCGGCCTCGTCGTCGTTCGTGGTCAGATAATTGGCCGTCAGGTACGTCCACATCATGAGTCAAGCTGGTAGACATCGTATCGTGATTGCCTCATCCACTAGAAACAACCTTCTTTGCTATAAAGCCATATCATCAGCAATTAGGTTAACCCAAAGTCCTTCATAGATGGCGACTTCAACAGTCACAGCCTACGCTCACCCTATGACCTTCTGGCCTCTCGCCCACCTCGCTCCCGCCGCAACACCGCTAACCTACGACGACCCTCCAACCGCAAGCCGAGTCCGCCCTAATAATATGCCCCGGGAAGAGGACGTAGACGCATCGATACACGGATATGGCTCATGGGCGCCTTTATCCCCTTCTTCCTCTTCTTCTTCTCCTTCTTCCTCTTTAAGCGTCTCTACCGCTCTCACATCCCCTTCACTTCCCACAGCGACCACCACCTGCAGCTTAATCAAGGGCTCATACCCAACCTCTACACTCCCGGCATTCTGCCGTCCAACGCTCTTCGCCAACGCGCCGTCCCTCCTCGCATCAGACCCGCCGCGCTCGACAGCCGTCGTCACCATGGGCGCTAACAGCGTTCAGGACAAAGTGAGCTGTTGCGCGTACTGCGCCGCGTATTATAATTGCTATGCCTGGCGCTTTGTACCCTCGTATGTGGGGACCCCGTCCGAGAGATTACCGGGTGGATTCGATCCATGGAAGCATGGGAATTGCGAGATTGCGTATCATGTAGGTACGAACGATGGGGATGGAGAGGGAGAAGGGGAGGGGGTGACGAGGAAAGGGGCGCCGGATATTTGTCCGAACGGAAGGCTGAAGGATGTTATTAATGGCACCATGAATGCTGGAAACGATACGTGGATGAATGGATTGTATTATAACGGGTGGAATCAGGGTGCTTGTGCGGACCTCGGGGGTGTCGTGTTTGAGACTGGGAGGGACCCTGGTGTTGGGGATGGGAGTGGGGTTTGTCATGAGTAGATTTGGTGTCACGAGCCTGAGTAGTACCGTATTGATGTACCTAAGATTCGTTGCTTTTGGATTCGGAGTATTGTGCCGCTAAGTTCTGCGCTGTGAAAATGATCGCGATGGGCGTTGATCTCGCATAGGAGAATGGGATGCATCCTTGTACTCACTCATATTTCACATACGCGCAGGGTTTCTTCTTGACGCATGGCATAATGTCTAAGTGTTTAGACAATCCAAGATACTATTCAGACGATCTATCGCGTAAGCTATTGATTTGCTGATCTTCCTGTCTCTATTTGTGATATTCTACTTCCTCGGATAAGAAGGCAGTGAGCAATTCACTAAATACTTACTCCGGTATGCAAGGTTAGATGTCCAAAAAAAAAAAGAAAATAAAAAAAAAAAAGTCGGATAGCTAGCAAGACCTCAAAGCCCGAACCTTGACCCAGGTACGTCATAAAGCCACCGTATTGCACTGAACTAGATAAGTAAGTACTGATCGGGGATGGAAATAGAGGGAAATAAACTTGATATGAAGAGAGAAAGACATTGCGAGCGCATCAATCTGCTCATTGGTCGCGTTGGAGACTGTTTTTTGAACTTGGTAGTTGGGCTGTCGATACTCTCTTCTCTATCTACGCAATCCAATTACCACTATAGGTGAAATTATCTACAGGGTACCGGTATTCATGAACACGATGTATTCCTTACATGTACAGCTATATATGATATATCATACGCGGGCTCGAGATTATTGCCATGAGGCTTGGTAGATACGTAAGTAGATATGATGTAGGCACCTACATAGGTATTCACACAACAATCAACTCCCTAGAGACCCAAAGCAATACACGTACACAATCTAAGCTAGGAGCATATATGAGTGCATGCTGACGTATAAGCCACCCATACTAGGTATGCCAACTTACATAGTAATCATCTGATCTGCGCTGTGATATGATGTGAAGTCATGCCCAAATATGTAGGTATATTTGTTTGGGCTGCTTTCTTGCTTGCTTGGCTTCGGGCACGCCCAATCCAATGTCTATCTAGATGGGAATAACAACTAACATTCATCAAACCTTACATATGCGACCGCCGTCTGGCCCACCACAGCTTGTGAATGAGGAGGGCCAGCCATACGGCAGGCATGTCCGCGCCCAGAGGTGGCGCTGTGGACGGCATGAAGTACCATGGTTTAGTTCGAAGGACTGGATAGCCGCTGTAAACGAGGCCTCCTTGTTTTCTTTTCCCTTTGAAAGGAGGGGATAGCTTAGAGCAAACTCTACACTTTACCGAAAAAAGCATTATTTAATGACTGGTTCCCGCCTGTTTACGAAAAATTAATCCTTTCGCTTGTCTTCCCCTTTTATACGTCAATAATCCTTTCATGCAAGATCAATACGTCTCACATAAAAGAGAATACACGTCGGGTCGGAAATAGAACTAGTTGCTTGCTGGTAGGGTACTGCTTCTATAATCGAGGAGACCGAGAGAAAAAATAAATAAAGATAAAGCAAGGGAATAAAGCTCCGACCAAAGTTGATATCTATCATTGGAATACATCTCGACCGGAGAAAATGACGACTGAAAGAGCGGATCTCGTGTCACGAGTCCTTCCCCAGATAACGTTGGGAACAGGAGCTCCCGGCGATTTGACCGCCCCGCCCTCGCCTTTACCCCCGTCCATGACCCCGGCCGAGCGCGCCCGTGAGCGGTTCAGGCTCGGCGGCAACGTCATCGTGACGGGCGGCGCGGGGGATCTCGGATTCGCTGCGAGCCGAGGCCTTTTAGAGCACGGGGTGCAAGGTCTTGCCATCTTCGACGTAGATCCCATTTTGGCCGAGGCCAAAGTCTCCGTGCTCGAGAGCGAGTTTCCGGACGCCAAGATCCGCTTCTTCAAGGTTGATATCACGGACGAGGAGGCTGTCGATACCGCCGTGGCGCAGACGGTGTCAACTCTCGGACCAGTGACGACGCTGTTGAATTTTGCAGGCATAGTCGACTGCGGCCATGCGTTGGATTGGCGGTCCAAGGATTGGAATCGCGTGTTGAATGTGAATACCGTCGGAGGGTTCTTCGTCGCACGCGCTGTGGCAAGACACATGATCCTACATAAGACGGGAGGCAGCATAATTTTCGTCGCCAGCGTCTCGGCGCACCAGGTTAACTATCCCCAGCCACAGGTGTCGTATAACGTCTCTAAGGCAGGAGTTAGGGCTATGGCTCGGTCTCTGGCTGGAGAGTGGGCACGATACGGCATTCGGGTAAATAGTATTTCTCCTGGATACATGGATACCATTTTAAACGAAGGCGATGGACTCGACGAGGCGAGAAGGATTTGGCTAAGTCGTCATCCTATGGGCCGCATGGGACAACCGGATGAGCTGTGTGGTGTTGTCGTCATGCTTGCGAGCCGAGCAGGTAGTTATTTCAACGGTACCGATCGTGAGTTTGTCCAGCCCTGCATAATATTGTTCCGATTCTACCACTCCTCGTACTGAACTCGCTGTCCTGGCTTGACTGCTTGGATGCTCACCAACAGAGGCCATCGGCGAGCAATTGTCAGGCAACGGGTTTGCGCTTTTGGACTGCCGATTATGCTAACTTCTGATTGATGCAGTTCTAGTAGATGGGGGGCAAACCTTGTTCATGTGAGAGATCTGGAAAGACAGTATATTCCTGTGCAAATAGAAGATTTGGCGATCCAAGATTCACAATAGAAATCTCACCCTCATTTGCGGGCCCCGGCCTTCCTCTCTCGAATCGCAGTGCTACTTATCTTGGTCGCGAAATCCGTCTTCGTGGCAGAAGAATCAGTGCCATCCCCTGCGTCCAGAACGTCCACTTCAAAAATCTCGAGTTCATGCCAGCCAAGTTCTCTACGCCTAGCGTTCACAGCATCCCCACCTGATCGCGTCTCTCCAGACACTACGAGTGCATCCATTTCTTCTTCTGCAGTAGTCGGTCCGAAAGCATCTTGAAGCATCACACAATGAATCTCGATTGTACCGTCCCGAAACCTAGCAATCACCTTGCCGTCATTCTTCGTAACGTCTGGTTCTACCCATCCTTGTTTGGACAGCTGGAGTAAGGATGCTAAGAATTCAATAACATTCATAACACGTAGATCCCATGGCTGGACAAATTCGGCATACTTCTTTCGCTTCAGTAGCTCATCACCAGTGATGCCAATGATGAATCGTGCTGGGGTTGTCGCGGGGCTGTCCGGTACCTTGAGCAACAGGGCAGCGGCGGTTAAGAGAAGTTTGTGGCCGGCATGTAAATGGTCGAATGTACCGCCGAGACAGACAATTGGATACAGCCTTGTCTGCGCAGGTGGCGACGGGTTCTCGCTCAAGGAGAGCCCACTCTCGACAACGATAAGTTGATCTTGCCTCAACGTCTGAACCTGCTCGTATATCTTCATATAAGATGTGAAAAGCCGGTATCCTGGTTCGCTGTTTACATGGAAGATTTCATGCCAGGGGTGGTAAGCGGACGCGAATGTGTGTAAATCAATGATGATGGTATTGTTGACATCAATTGCCAGCCGAGGATGCTGTGCTATAGGCCTAGACGGGTCGTAATGAATGAATAGCACGCGCACATCAATGGAATCCGGGCCGGCATGCATCTCGCTGGGGACGGAGAGCTGGGCGCAAATAAGGGCCACGATGCTGTAGATGCGGGCCAGAACCGACTGGGCGGCGGGCCATGAGAGGGACTTTTGGTTGGGGGCGGGGCCGGAGAGAATGGCCGAACTGATTCCCACGAAAAGCACGGAGCCTCTCTCGCTATGGTGGTCTTCATTCTTGAGCTTTGTTATAGCGGCTTTGATAGCAGGCTCATATGCGACAGATAGGGATGTATGGTCTGCTGGCTGTGGTGGTGGAGGTAGAAGGAGAAGCGAGGGGTTCCGCTGTGACTGGCGATGACGCTCCATGGCTCAAAGCACAGTGACAAAGACGACAGGGAGAGAAGCTTGGGGAGAGATGAAAGCTATGAGATAAAATACAGGCTGATATATATTGTTGAGTCTCTTAGTGGTACTGCCGAAGGCAGAGAGAAGGAGAGCGGGAGAGAGAGAGCGAGGATGTTGAAAATAGAAGAGAGGGTAGCTAGAGGTGAGTATCTTGTCTCCCTGTGTCTTTCTCTACCTTGGCAATTCTCACGCCTCCAGTACCTACTATGCGCGAGGCTTACTCTAACCCCTCGGCTAATGGACCTGGAACTGGTAGGTGATCGGAATACTACTTGTTCTAGATAATGTAAGACGGGCGCAGGCGAGGCAAAAAGGCGAATAATGAAGATGTGACGTGACGTGAGATGAGCTACCGAGTCCCGAGGCCCTGGTCAGACCGCTGAAGCCTAGGTACCTACCTAGGTAGGTACCTACCTACTATTATCTCTTAGGCAGGTACCTACCCTACCTCTGGTACACTGTCGAGCTTCCTTCTTAGGTACCTACATAGTACCCGAGCTGCGTTATGGTAGCTCTGTCTCTTCTAACAATTCAATTAGAGTGCCTACCTGTACACTACCTATGTAGGTAAAGACGAAAGGCCACTCATGATCGAAATGACATTTGAAGTTAAGTAGGTTGCTTTACCTCGCTCCGTCATCTCCGCATTCTTAAGTATGTATGTAGCTACCCCTCCCCCTCCTTCCTCCTTCCTCCTCCTCTTTTCATCCCCCACCACGACCACCACTAGGTATGTATCTACTCAAGTCCCTACAGCTTCATCAAGAGGGGGGAGGGTTAGGAGTTACGTAGCCCGAGGCTCTGATATCGATTCGCTATCCTTGATCAAATCATGTTCAAACACCTCTATTTGCCCTTGATTAGCAGCAGTTCTACCTAGGCTATCGAATGTAGCTACATGTGAGTGTAGTGTAGACAAGTACCTAATAGGTAGAGTTATCTAGGTACCTAGGAAAACCAACCCTATCTGTCCATCATAGCAAAACACCTAAGGGGGTGATACTCCTAGCACAAAGTGACAGATTATGGGAAGCATCAAACAGAGACAAACCTGGAGATCAATCTATGAATCCGTTGTCATTGCACGTGTTTCAGGGTCTTACAGTACCTAGGTACCTAGGTAGGTACTTATCTTAGGTAGGCGAGTACCTAGGTAGGTAGGCAAGTGCCAGGCGAGCCAGGCAGCTAATCTTGGGCAGGCTCAGGTACTTCCCGTACCATACCGGGCTATACCTTGGGCTGGTAACCCACCTCCTGCTTTGGTTCTCCTTCGCATCTCGTACCTTACCGTACCATTCAACCCAGCCGCATCGCATCCCGCTTCCACTTCGCCAACTCGCCAGCCAACCGGGGGGGGGGGGGGGGGGGGGGGGGGGGGGGGGGGGGGGGGGGGGGGGGGGGGG